AAAAAAAAAGAAAAAAAACTGGGGAGAATGACAATGAAGAGAATTACGCTATTTTATTCTTGCGTTAGATACATTTTGTTCTTTTCTCTTCCTGCGTTGGAATATCTCCAAAGATTTAGCGGTGGATAGGAGCGCTTGGAGACTAGCGATCAACGTGCCGGAACCGTGACTTTTGCTCTTTTCTCTTTTGCTCCAATCTTTCTTTTTTTTTCTTTTTTTTTTACCACTGTTTCTATTGGGTTTCATCTCTATCCTACCCCAACTTGTTTGGGACTAAAAGGCTTTGTTGTTGTTATTGTAGATACATTTTCTGAAGTTATACAGTCAAAATGGCTTCTTTTGGGATTGAGCTCCGTTTGTGAAGAGTTTGAATGATTGCTTTGATTCTCATAGCCTAATATGTTTTTTTTTTTCCTACCGTACCTAAGCCCCATTACAACCCATTTAAACCCTTCGATTTTGTGTGTTCATATTGATTCTTGGGTGGACGAGCGTGATATATTTGCAAGCTTATGGTAAAATCCTTCATTGTCTTGACTTGAGCGTACACTTTATATATTTACCCTATACACATTCGAGCGTTGAGTGCATCTTGTGAGAAGTTGTCGAATCTCATGTGTTTTAAGTTATTTGATTGTTGAGGTGATTATTCATTGATGTTGGTTAATGAGAATTCTTTCTTAAGCTATGTTTCTGATGTGTGCAAAATATTTTTGGGTTGGTAACGAATGATAGAGATGATTATGAGATGAGATGATGAATTTGACTTGATGCTTGAGGACAAGCATCGTTGTGTGGGGTGATTTGATAAGTCGTATTCTTGGCATGTTAATTGTCATGTTTTCCATACTTTTTCGGTGATTATTTGAGCTTAATTATTGATTTTAATTGATTTCTATTTCTTCTTCTCCGTTCGCGACTGCCGTCGGATACCAGCCACAGGCGTGCAGCTTCTATCTTCCTCGGAGCACACGTCGCGAGGAATCCCAGACGACAACCGCGCGCGACCCTTTTCCTCATAAGACCACCGGCGAGCCGCTGGCGCGACCCTCTTTTCCCGATACCCGTGATTCAGAAATCCTCTGCTCTTCTCTTGCGAAGGATTGCACCATCTACAACCTTGGCCGCTGTTTTGAATCTCGTGAGAAATCCCGCGCCCAGGCCCGATTGGCAGAGGAAACGGGCTGTTCGATCCACCGCTGAGATGAACGACCCAACGCACGTACTCTTCCAGTTTCAGTCACGCCATCACCAATTTCTCCCGACCACCACGAGCGTGACCCTTTCTGGTACAAGTAATTTTTTATTTTTATCTTCTGAATATCTAATTCTGAAATTTCCCTGCAATTTAACAGGCCTTACTAGTTGTCCTTTCCTCACTTATGGTATCTCTATCAACCTCTTGTAAACAGAAAAACAAGAACTGCTTGCACTCCACCAAGTGATAAATTGGTTAATTGCTGGTATTTTGTGCCTCGTTTTTTCTTTATTCTCGTTCTGAACTTGCTTTTTGTGACTCGAGTTTAAATTATGTATTGTTTTGTTGTCTTCTATAGGTTTATCACTGGTACTCCCACTTTTTTCAGCAACTAGTCTCTTGTCTAGGCTAACTCTCATATATCTCGGTTTTGCCCCCGCATTCCTTTTGCTGTCAATAGGGTACTCTCTCATATCTAAAACTACACCATATGGGCAAAATAGAGATTTGTTGAACAAATGCCTTCTTATATTGGTGCAGATATGATGGTTCCGAAAACTTGGCCGCAACAGTCGACGGCTGCGACGGCGTCTTCCATGTGGCCGCGGCGGTGGACTTCGAGGAGAGAGAGAGCGAGGAGGTGAAGGCCCGGCGCGTCACCATCGGGACCCGGGCCATTCTGCAGGCGTGCGGCGCCGTTAATTCTTCAGCTCGATCTGGCGCCCCCGCCGCCGTTTGGCCGACGGGGAGTTGCTGAGGTCGCTACAGATGTTTGCAGAGGCTTATGTGGTGACGAATACGGTGACCGAGATATTGCCTCTGGAATTTGGGGAGAAAAATGGATTGGATGTGGTGGTCGTGATGCCGTGGTAGGTCGTCGGGCCCTTCAT